GGTTCACAGAAAGTTGAAACTGCGCTCCTGTTTGACAAAAAAATGCAATAACTTCTTACCTGGGACATGTTAAGTCATGAAAACAAAGTCAGAAAGATTGTTAGCAACAAAAAGGCTCACTCAGACATAAAAGTAGACGCGATGACAAGATGACATGATATAAAGCACCTAAAACTGATCGACTTGTGCAATCAGTGGCGGCATTTTGCAGCTTCCATTAGGCTACTTGATTAGGCCGTTGGTTTCCCCTTTTTTTTTCTGCAGTCCTAATAAAGATTGCTTTGACATTTGCAATACAATCAGCGCAATATTCAAAAACCACATTTGGCATTTCTGTTTTAAAGTATTCACAAGTCAGAGTGTAAAAATCAACTGTGTCACGCATTCTTGAATTAGCCTGACTGAATGTTCTCTGCTCGACTGTGACCACACACACACACACACACACACACACACACACACACGCAAACACACACACACACACACACACACACACACACACACACACACACACACTAATGAATTAACACAGTGGCCTGATTGTGAGATTGAGAAAGAAGATTCTTGACATAACGCACACTTAAAATACTCAAGCTCTATGCCACTGATATTCTTATACTGAACAAAAAGAAAACGCAACACTTTTTTTTTTGGGGGGGGGGGGGTACCCGTTGAGGTTGAAGGATTATTTCGGCTAAGGAGAGGCGCTCACAAACACCGATTTAGACAGATTGGTGAAGAGAAACACAAGTGTTGCATTCATATTTTGGTTCAGCGCAGCCATAAACGGAACTTAATCGTCTCAAGTATGCCTCATCTACATACCGCCGGTTGGGCCCTTTGAATTCATCTCAAGCATGACACTTCATACGCTCAAATAAAGCACCGTCTCTAGATATTTATTAGGAATTAGCACACTGTTTATCTTTCATCGTGGTTCAAATCTGGAACCTCACGCGCGCCAACAAGACTGGAAAACGTGTTTGCGGCCGATGTTATTCATTTTGCATGACACCACGCGAAGGACATTGAAAGCAATAATGAGGGGAAAACAGAGGGGAAATGAACAAAGATGAGTTGCCTGAAGGAAATCATTAGCGCACATCATTACTCTCGACTCTGGAATGACTGACTGAATCGAGACTTGGATGCTGAAAAGTGCTTGCAAGGAAGCATTTCCGCGAAGTCTTTTGCTCCAATTTGCATAACTTGACGGCGCTCTGTAAGTATGAACTTACAACGCGCTGAGCAACCTCGGAGCGAACGGTTGGCGTTGGTCACGTGTTTGGCGCACGTGCGGGCCGTTGATTTATTTATTTGTCTATTTTTCTCAATGGGAACAACATTGGCATGGAGGGAATGCAAGATGACAACAATTCGACTTTTTTCATTTGTAGGTGATTCTTTTGATTTTATTCCTCTCATCGCATGTCCAAAACACCGAAGAATAAGCAAACAGAGCTTTCCAACGTAACGACAGCACGGTAGCAATGGATTGATGGGTGGAATTTTCCAGTGAATAAATTTATTCCGCTTTGACACTTCTATTAAAAGAGATGCGACATTCTATTTGAAATTGGCCTCTGAATGTTTTTTTTTTTTTTCATGCATTTGATTTCACATTAGCGGCATTCAGATAAAGGAAAAACGGTCGTATACATGCCAAGAGGGATCTAGATCACAAATCTCAATCATCCAAGTGCTTTGCATCGCCATACAATCATTCTGACGCATATGAGGAGAAAATGCCGGCCGTAAATGTCGGAGCTCAACATATCAGCTGCAAATACACATCTCGATAGATTACTGACAGGAAACCGGTATCACATTTACCCCAAAAGCAAAATGGCCAGAGTGCATTTTTGCACACACAAAAATATGACTGAAAAATGTAGCTTCTCTTTCCAACCAAAATATTTTTGGAGCAGTCAATAAAAACCCTCAGCGAACTGCTTCTGACATCAGCAACCCATTCCGGAAACAGAAGTGACAGAGTGGACAAAGATGAACATTTGCCAAAGTGTTGGAAAGGCTCAAGTTTGACAAAGAGAGAATCTGCTCATGATCCCAAACATACTCGACTTGGTGAAGGATTTGATATTTCAATACAAATGCTGCCGTCGTAACCCTTTCATGCACTCTGTAACCTGATAACATGATAAGCTGTCCACTGGAGTAACTGCTGTCCCTATAAGCGTTAAGTTCCACACTTTGGTCGCAACAATGCGCGCAATGCTGTTGTCACAAAAACTAAAAAACCCCAAAAGCCAAAGAAAATGATATAACGTGACATCTTGTGACGCCTCAAACTCCAAATTTTTGAATGACTTTCGAGATGTATTTTTCCTCAAGGACATAAAACCTCAAATTGGGGTCGACTTTAGATGCTCCGGGGTAGCCGAAAGCTGTGTATCTCAACATTTCTGTTGCTCAAACCACCTGTTTGTGTCCTACTAGGGAATAATACCTCCATTACCGCTCAGGCAGCCAGACAGGGTGATCCACTAAAAGAGAGAAATGGTCTTAAAATGTCAGCATTTGCCACATCTGTCTAACGTCCATCACAAGCTTGCCACGGCACGTCTTTGCTCATCCGCCCCTGTGCTCTGCGAGATGGGTGCGGTGCTTCAATTGTCCTCCACCATATCAATTTATGTTTTCAATCCTCCACTGTAAATCTCCTCCCTTTTCAGGATCAGACATGAAAAGAAACGGCCAACATGGCATTTGGATCATAATATTTAGGACCAAAAGCACAAAAGATCCCCTCACTAGCACCAAAATGTTTGCGTGGGAGGTTGGGGAGGGGATGGCGGGTGGGTTGTTTGTAGTGAAATAATCATAATCTTTTCCACCGTTAATATGACCTATAACCTCTAAATATAAACAGCTGAGAAAATGTGGTTGCACAAGTGTGCACACCCACTTATAAATTGGATGTATTCAGAATGAACCAATCACATTCAAACTCATGTTAAATGGGAGTCCAACACACAACCGCCACCATTTAATGTGTCGCGGATTAACATCAAATGACGTTCAGATGTTCTAGTAGGCTTTTCCTGTCATTTTATTTCTTTATTTATTTTGAGGAAAGCTTCAAAGGCTTTGTGCGAACGCTGACTGATTTTTGGAGCTGTTCATATAGTTGCCTCCATTTTGACTAAGGTCGTAGGGGCATCCGAAGAAAAACACGCTAAAAGTATGATGCTGACACCATCATGTTTCACTGTTGCTATGGTGTTCAGATGATCATGAACTTATCCCAAAAATGGGGATAGTGGTTGTTCAGTCCGCAAGACTCCACTTGTTAACAAAGTATAACTTGACTGAAAAAGAGTGCGCTTTCTAGGCCACTTTCATGTGCAATAAATCTGTTTTTTTTTCACTGTACTAGAGATTAATTCATTGCTTATGTTTGTTAAAAACATATGTGGAAAAAAGCATATTAAATCGCAATCTCAATACGGGGAAAAAAATCTGAATTAAATCATTTTTCTAAATTGTTCAGCCCTGCATCATGCTGCCCAAACAGTTTATTTCTGTTGACATTATTTTGGATGGGAAATATTATTTTGAGAGGTTCCACTGTAGCGTCCTTTTAAAATGCCGACATTTTAATTCAGCACGGGAAATCTTCAAGGAGTTTTCTCAGTATATGACATCTATTGAGGCATCTACAGACTCAGAGCGGGATCACCAGGCAGACTTCCCTCTGCCTCAGAGCTCCAAAAGCACATGTGTGAACACAGCCTGCCCTCAGTGAACACACACACACACACACACACACACTCCCAAAAACACATCCCCTCTCTCTTCCAATAACATGATGGACGGCACCCACGCGGACACACATACACATCCCGTCTTATCTGAGCCTAATTATATTCTTAGTTTAAATTCAGCCTCAAGGTCAAAGTGAGAGTGAAGAATCCAACATGCCAGAGTCCCCTGCTGTCATACTCCAATGTGATTTGCTAATGCATGTAACAAAAGAAATGTCGACTCAGCTCAAGTAAAAAAATAAACAGCTTTAGGTATTTGATGCGTTTACAACAAGGGATGGGACTTTTACCAAGCTGTTAAACTGGCCAACTGTCACACCCGTGGAAAAAAAAACGAGAACAGTGTCGCTGGCTGCCATTATTTACACCTTTAGCCCAAACCACAAGACAAGGCATTTTCTAATTTTCACAAATAAGCGTATAGAATAAGCCTTGCTGCAGCAATATCAATCCTTTTGGTGTCTGCTCCTGCCTCCAAATGCTCTGCTCGCCTCCACGAGCAAACATCCACACCTGGCTATGCGCGCACACGCGCAGTCATGTCATCAAACAAGCTTATCCATTCTGCGCACATACATGAAAAAAAATTTAAATAAAAAAAGCATCCTGCCATGCTTCTATCATGCGCAAACATGCAGATGTTTTCCGTCGCTGGCCTTACAGAATGAGCCGTGCGCGTGCACGCGATAGCGCGCGTACACAAGCTGCCTGAGCGTTTGATACGTGGCGGCGTGCACGCTCGGGCATCACCGCTCAGCTGACGGAGGGACCTTGTTTTGGAGTTTTGAGAAAAGAATGATCAGGAGGGGGGGGGGGGGGGGGTGTCACGACTTCGCTTCTTTAAAGTGCGCGCCGTTGGGGCTACACAAGCTTCGTCGCTTTTGCAAAAAAAAAAAAAAAAAGTAGTGATGATAATAATAATTAAAGGCCTGATATTCACCGAGGCGGGCTTCAAGGTTGAATAACACGCGGAGTAGCTCGCTGTCATGCTGATGTTTGTGGCAAAAAAAGCCATAAAAAAGGAATATCTTTTTTTTTTTAAATCACACACATCAGGCCCCTGTTGCGACGCTTCCACCGCAGCAGCCACGCGAGGCTGCGTGTGCGCATCCCGTTTCCCACCGCTGAATAAGGCACATTTTTTTTGACGACGACAGCACTCAAGCGAGCGTTTTATGACACAAATAAGATGTCATAATTGAATCTGAGACCTACCTTGACGTTAAAGCCGAATCCGAGCGCAGAAGCAGACTGGCCCGAAGCCAAGCGGCTGTCGGATGAGACAACAACAAAACCACGCCGGTTGTTGATGACACAGCTGTCCTGCTAAGGCACCGCTGAGAGAGGGCGTGAATTTGGTCGGGGGAAGAGAGAAAAAAAAATCCCTCCCCAGATGTGTCAACCGAGTCTGGGTTTAAAAATCGGCTATTTAGAAGTGTATCTCCCGATTGACGCCTTTCTCTTGACGTGAGAGCGCTTCCATTTTTTTAGGGTAAACAGCGCGGCTCGGCGCAGCCTCCTGATTGGGAAGCATCGCGCAATTCAATGCGACGTTGGAGGGAGAGGTGGGTGGGTGGCTGGGGGGGGGGGTGATCCTGCGTGTGTTTAAAAAAAAAAAAAAACACGTCCTTCAGTGTTCGAGGGGGAAAGCATGCTTTGCGGGTAAATATGAGGAAGCGGCGGGAGGATGCTGAGGGGTGGGTCGAAGGAGGCAAAAGGCGTCCAAACACATTTTGGAGAAATGTGTCGATGCCATGTGTTGGTTCACACACGTTGGGCAGCCTCGCTGTGCTCCATATATTCGCATCATCACCATCATGCTTCATGAGCGCTGATACTCGCCAGTTGTAGCAGCCATCGCTCAACATTTCGAGCGGAGAAACCATGAATATTCATTTGGATTCGGATTTATGGCTCGTCCTTTAACCCGACACAACAAACAGGAAGACGCATTGCATATCGGTGTGTTTAACTTGAAACACGAGAGCAATTTTGAGCTGCGTGAAGTGACTTAAGTCTGTATTTAAGTGTAAATAATATAGAAATGTATAATGCAAACAAACACATGGCTGGTGTAGGGAAAGACACGCCCCCTAAAGCCCACTCGAGAAATACACCCAAAAGCCATGATTTTAAATACAATAGTGAGATCCAATGAAAGAGCTGCATTTTGAAAATGTACACTGGAAGTCGACACACCGCTGTTGAAATGCGACATTTTTGTCACATACAGACCAAGACAACAATTTCAAAACTTTTTCCACCCTTAATCCAACCGATAACTTTTACAACTCAATTGAAAATGTTTTAATAATATATTGGAATAGGAGGTAATAATAAATAACTGAGACAATATCCAAATGCCTCAGCTTAACTCTAATACATTTCAGATCTTCTAGTAGGCTTTCCCTTTTTCTTTGTTTGTTTTGCACGACAGTATAACTTTATGAACCGTCTAAATTACAACGCATGCATTTGTATTGAGCAAGCTTTTTGATGGAGGAATTTCGAGAAAGGATGATTTATTCTGTTTGATTCTGCTTTTTAATTGCTGTGGTTTTGTTTGGAAAATATTAATAGAGATGAAGTGTTTGTTTTGCAAGTATTGATGTGTGTTAAGGGTGATGAAACAGGAGAACCGAAACGTCCGCAACTCTACATGGGCCCAGGAGATGACCAGATAAGAGGAAATCAACGGGAGTCGACCCTTCTGTATTTCTCAAGATATGCTGAATTGACGTATTAAAAGTGATTTGACGTATAAAAAGTGATTATCAGGCTCATGCACATGCTGAGGATGTGATGAAAATTTCAATATAATGTACTTTGGAGGGAAAGTCAGGGTGGGGTCAGCTTGTTGACACCCCAAACTTCCCATTAGTGGTCTCACCTTCATGTAACTCAGGGACCTCAAGAAGCAGATGAAAAGAGAGGGCATAGGGAGCGTCTGTTTTAGGACAGCTGAGAGAATTGTGAGCAGCCTCCTTTCTACACCCTCACAACCAAAAACAGAGAGACGTCTCTTCTCTTCCTTTTTGTAAGTGTATATTTGTCATATCGAATTATAAACCTGACACTTTTGTAAGCCAAAACTTAAAAAAAAACCTCTCACAAACCTGTTGTACTATAGAGAAGTAGACATTTTTTTTTTTTAAATCGGCGTCAAAAATCGCTGATTAAATTTGCTGTTGACCAGTTATTCAGCGATGTATTCATACATCGATGCGAACTGTAGTTGCAGTGTTTTAGAACTGCATCGCACTTCCTAAATGAGGCAACTAGTGTCAACTCAAAATCTTTGCAAAGTCCGGTTTGTGCAAGTGTCCCTAATGTTGTGGCCAACACATCAGTAACTTGTTGTGTACCACAAAGACCATTGGACCATCTACGCCAAACTCAAAGTCCAGTACAGGATCAAACTAAAGCAAGAGCGCAATAGAGCGGACATCTCTGCATGCATACGAGTATACATTGCCAGGCCACAACATTAGGTACGCCTGGCCCAATCAAAATTCTGAACTATGATTCTGTCACTGTGACTTATGAACTACACTCAGAGCGCAGATGGTAATACTTACTTCCCTACAAGCCACTGCAACACATTTCCATCCTTGTTGCTTGATATTTTGTCTTTTAACTCCAGGCTAGTAAACAGCGAAAGAATCAAAACTCGATCAGGAAAAGGGATGATCGTTGAAAATATCCATTATTTTGTTGGCAGATGGCAAACGCTGCACCCAAGGCTCCTGTGAAATGTGACGTTCAAAGCTCCTTCACGCCTACCATCCGCCCGCACAGGTGTTCAGACGGCAACAAAAGTATCAGCAGGATTAATAACTTGATGATGACTGCATTTCAATGAGGTGAGGCCACTCGCTGCTCTCTCGGATGGAGCTTTACGGCGTGTATTTGACGACAACAAAAGAAAAGACCATTTTATCTGTCTTCATTCTAATCCAGACTGAGTGCTGATATCAATGTGGAAATGAAGGAAATTCAGCATGATTTTATTTTGTTGTGATTGTTTTTTTTCTTATTCTTAAATGGTCACTAACAATGCGGAGGGGGGTGTTGTTGCATGTGACTCACAATTTTTTTTTTTTGCCCATACAGCTGTGTATCATGGTGTGTAAGAGTTGAGGACAAAGAGGGCTGTCCATGGTCCTGAAATTGGGGTCCCAAATTTGGAAGCTTATTCAAAAAAGAAGCCATGTAAACATTTTTTTTTTTTTAACAACAAGAATATACAATGCGGCACCCACTCATCTAAACATGGCACTTTGATTAAAATTGCATTTGTGGAAGATGAATTAGGCAGAAAAAGCCACCCATTTTATTCTTCTCATCGGGCGGCCAATTTGCCCACTTACTGTCGACTGAAAATATCATCACAGTTTCTCAGGTCAGGTAACGACCAATCATGACTTTTTGAGTTTGGTCATGTGATGTTCACAAGCCGAGCCGTGATTGGCTGTTACCTGAGCAACTGTGATGTCATTTTCAATCCAAAGAAAGTGGTAAAAAGGCCGCCCGCTAAAATGGGTGTCTTTTTCTGCTTAATTAATATTCCACAAACGCAATATGAACCAGAATGCCGTGTTTAGACTAGCGGGGCCATAACTTGACTTTCCTTTTAAACTTTACAACATTGCTACATCATAGGAAATATGTTGTTTCTCCATGTAAAGCGCAAACATGAACCCCATGACAATCACAATGTCCCAGCAGTGCAGCGTTTTACAATTAAAGTGTTTGTATTTTGGACGCCTTGCAGGAAGGAAGTGCTACTTTTGACATTTAAAGTCAGTTCAACTGAGCCCGGGCCTAAAGCAAGAGAAATACTGTTTCTGTAGTGCTCAAAGACAAACTGTTCTGGTAACAGTGGGAGTACTTGTAAGGTGGAGAGGGGGAGGAGGGGCGCATCAAGATAAAAGACTGACTCTTTTGTAACCTTTGCCGTAATGTTGTCTGCACTGCTTTGAAGTTAGATAATGACCACTGAATGCAGAATGTAGGGATTTAGTGATTCACAAGACATGGCAGATGTGGACCAAACAACAACATACAATTGGAAAGCATTGCAGGTTTTTATCTGGTGTGCCGATTGCTGGCGTGACAAAGTATCGGGGGGGAGTGGATTTGTTATCAGGAGCTTTTCCACGATTCGGTCAAAGTGCACAGCGCATGGTGTGATTTTGGCCGCACTGCTTCATGAACATCCTTTCAAAAAGACGACGAAAGCAGTTAGCAGGTAAAGTTGTTTGTTGACTTTCTTGATTGTGGGCACGTACTTGAGATTCCATGGGAGCTATTTGGATTCATGTGCTTTCTGCGTTTACGATTGCTGTATAAGTTCGGAAGGCTCTTTGTCGCTTTTGCCCGTGAGCTTATTCAGCAGGAAGTCAGTTGATGCGCCTTTGGTCTTCTTTAAAATACCATAGAGAGCGCTTATTAATGCCTATGCAGTCATGTCTCATAAGCTTCTTTTCCCTTAAATGAATAGCAATTCCGTTTGTTTTTTTTTTAGGTCACACACAGTGTGATCTACCATGTGTACTCTTATTAATGAACGCCCATCTGATGGCCTGAAGCCTGCTGAAATGTGCATGTTTTAAAAGAACTTTCGAGTCAATTTTTAAGCTCATTGGCTCATTTCTTTTGTCACACAGTACTTTTGTTATTCTAAGTCGTTTCTTATCTAGAAAAAAAGGTGAATAGTAATGCACTTTTTTTTAATGGATGTATTACTTTTCCCTAATTGCAGTTGACAAATTAGCTAATTACATTTCTCAGTATATTGTTCATAATCTGTTGTTTTTATGAATAAATAGTTTGGTCCACACTTCCTGTCACATTCACGTTTGAAAGTTACATAAAAACAAGTTCTTCAAATTGAAAGCTTTTCATGTGGTGAACTTTAAAGAGGCGCTAACAGCCCACAGGTTGTCAACATGTCGACGCCCAAAACTCGAAATAAGGACTTTATAGAGGCCTTGAGTGTTCTGCAATGGGTACTGACCTTTCTCTTCTTGGGTATGTCGCCTTCATTTGCACATTTTGGCCCTTGTTAGTGCACACTGGCATGGCTTATAAAAACTCAGCTTGCATCCGTCTTCAGGGGTGACTTGCATCATCTTGATGGTGGGTCTGATGTTTACACCACTGTGGCTGCTTCCCACTCTATACTTCATATGGCTTGTGATTGACTGGCAGACGCCTGAGAAAGGTAAATGGAAATAACTGAGGTGTTTGGGAATATGTTTCTTATTCAATATAAACAGCCCCTTTTTACACCAGTTTCACCAGTTGTATTGGTGAGCATACTAGCCTAAATTACACGCTAGAATAAACTGACGTGACATTCCGCATGGGCAAACGAATAAGCGCGCTAGTACTTTCCACAAATGGTATTTGGCATTTACACACAAGAATAAATGTTACGTGATACAAGCAAGCTAAGCTGAAACATAGTTTTAGTTTCACTTTTGATGTGCACAGGGTGCATCCAAGGGATGTCAACAAAACAGGACATCTGAAACGCAGACGAGAAAAGAATATCAATGAATTAAAGCTAAACCCAAAAGCAACGTTCCATCGGATGACAGCAAAGTAACGTAGTTATTTCTTTGACCTGAAAACAGCGAACAACAGAGGACAGGTTGGCCAAAAACGCCGTCAATAATGCTCATTTGTCACCGCCAAAACCTGGTTCACGCTGGAAAACCTATGTTTTTTTGTTTTTTTTTCCACAACTGTTTACCATTTCTCAATTAATTCAAACTAGATGTGCTTATTAGAAGTGGGTGACTTATTTTATCAGTCAGAAGAATTGGTGGTTCTGTTATACTGGCCTCCGCAATTTAAAAAAAAAAAAAAAAAAAATCAATGCAATCATAGAAATTAGAGCAAAAATGACATCTTGGTATAGCCATAAAATTAAAGCACGTGTTGTAGAATTGCTCTGATGTCATCAGCTAACACCACTCACAGCCAAGAGAGGTCACAGTGACGAATTCAGACCGAGCCAATGAGTTGTTTTAACATAAAACGTGTTCAAATGTGCAGGTCTTTTGAAATAAATGTCCAGTAATACCACTCGCTCATATTTATTGCATGTTTCAAAAGAGCTAGTCATTTGCATGCTATCTGGGGATGTATTACGCAATGTATTAACCCACATTGTAAGCCTATTTTTGTTTTCTGGCAACGGTACATCTCACCATTCAGATGGAATTTCTGATTTGTAGTTTCAAGTATACAACTCCAGGATCAAGTTATGATCTCCAGAAATAAAATCATACAAAACATTCCACACAACAAGAGAGGCCGGGTAGAGACTTGACTGAATGGTCGCCTGTCAATTGTAGCACACATACAGACAAATAACCAATCCCACTCATATTTACATCGATGGACAATTTTGAGTGCGAGGACTTTAAAATGTATCAGGTTGTTCGGTTTATTTATAATTTATCCAAAGAGCAACTTTAAAATTCTACTATTTTATTTAACCCAAAAAAAACATTGTCGTATCAGGTGGCAGGAGAAATCCATCTGTGAGGAGGTGGAAAGTTTGGGAACACTACAGAAACTATTTTCCTATCAAGGTGAATCCCCCTTTAATATGTTTTTTTTTTTTTAATGCACATTTTACCTTCCATCCACTTCAAAAACTTTGAGGAAGTTCACTGAAACCTTGGGTTCATTGTCTTATTTAGCTGGTGAAGACGGCCGAGCTGAATCCAAACAAAAACTACATCCTCGGCTGTCACCCGCACGGCATAATGAGCATCGGAGCCTTTGGCTGCTTCAACATCGAGTGCTGCGGCTTCTCAGAGGCTTTCCCAGGGATGTACGTCTCCCTAGCCATATTGGCCGGACTCTTTAAGATCCCACTCTTTCGGGATTACATCATGGCTGCAGGTACTTAACGTCCAGATTGTGTCAATAGCTCCATATATAAAAACTGAATGATGTTTATAATCTTACTTTGTTTGAATAGGCCTGTGTCCCGTCAGCAAGGCAAGCCTCGGCCACCTTCTGTCCAAGAGTGGCACAGGAAATGCGGTGGTGATTGTGATAGGGGGCGCTGCAGAGTCTCTGGCCTCCCATCCTGGAGTACAGACAGTTCTTGTGAAGCAGAGAAAAGGCTTTGTCAGACTAGCGCTTGAATATGGGTGAGGGGAAAAAAAAATACAACACTGGTCAAGCTGGTGCTCACCTGCTAGTTGATTTTTAACATGACAATAACATATGCTTCCACTTTCCTCAGGGCTGACTTGGTGCCCGTTTACTCCTTCGGGGAAACGGAGCTCTTTCAGCAGGTCACATTCGCAGAAGGTTCACTGGGTCGAAGGTTTCAGGACCTGTTCAAAAAGATCATGGGGTTCGCCCCCTGTCTGTTCATTGGTGAGCGCTGGGCATTGCTGCCTTCCAGGACTCCCATCACCACAGTAGGCAAGTGCTCCTTTCCAAAAAAGTGGAACTCATGTGCAACACGGTTAATTCTTAACCTTGCCGTCGTTTCCAGTGGGAAGTCCCATCCCCGTACCCCAGCGCATCACACCCACCGAGGAGGAGGTCGACTACTATCATAAACTCTACATGGACGCCCTGTCGAGTTTATTTCATGAGCACAAGGTCAGCTGTGGACTATCGGAGAGTCACAAGCTTTGTTTGATTTAGATGTTTTAACTTCCTCGTGACCCTCTCCAATGGACTACACCACGTGAGTGTGTTTGAAATGAAACAATGATAATCCCTTCAACAGTACTGCTGAAAAATGTGAGAATTGAACATGAACATGTCAGGCGGGGCCAAAATGTAAGTCAGTGTCATTTTAAACATGGGGCAACAAGGAGTCGAACTTAAATGTTGGCTGAATGACGTCGATACATTAACTGTGTTTATAAAGGTGTGTGATTTGAAGACAATGATGTCTTTCTTTCTTGTAACAAGTTTATATGGCTAATAAGTATTCAATTGAAGAATAATACAGGTTACAATCGCTGTTTTTTTTGTTTTGTTTTTAATGAAGGCCTACAAGGAGTGTGTGACACAACCAAGTGCAATCCATTTCACTATAAACATTTCTCATGACTGGAACAGAAGACACGGCTGTAGTTCACATTTTACCCAGTAGAGGGCATCCGTTCACCACCACTACAGCTGTTTGTGAGTGTCAGGGTGTTCGCCAATCAGATCGACTGGATATGAAAACATCTTGACAATACAACACAGTATCTTATTAAAAAGAAGCGTTCCAACATATCATGCTTTGACTCACTCAAAGATTGAATGATTCGTTGTTGGCTTTTGATCTTTGTAGCGCCCAGCTTCATACCAGTCAACCTCGGCTAATACCTGCCCTTATAAATGATTACGATTCCCCTTACAAAAGCAACAAAAACCCGTACAACGGCTTACCGCGCATGCGCACATCATGCTTTATCAATCCGGCCGTACGCAGCGATGAAAAAAAATATACGATGGAGGATTACTTTTGCTGGTTTGCAGTGACAATAGTAGCGATCGACGACGGCATTGTCGTTAGCTACCAGCAGGTGAGACGATCTGGATTTGAGCCAAAATGGTCTTTGTGAGATCAGTACACAATTGTTTTGTTTTTGTTTTTTACCGTATAAAAGTTGTAATACGCCGTACATGGTTTGAAATGATAAAAAAAACGAATAAAATATGGGGAAAACGTACAAGTTGACAGGTATGCAGCTTGAGGCCTTGAATGCAGGTAAATGTTCGGGGATGAGAGCTTTATTGAGGAACAAGTGTACATCTAAGGTTCGTTATACTTTGCAAAATCATTACAAGATGAAACTCGTAACAAAGACACTACAGTTCATGGGGGCAATGAATGAGGACTAAGGGTCAAGGGAACCTTCTAAAAGAAATCCATATCATCCGGTGCGTCCAGGTCCCGGTATTCAATGATGTTTCGTGGATCGCCCCGCGACATTCTGAAATCAAAAGGAAAGGGGGTGGAGCCCACAAATGATTATGAATACACAAGTCCATAGGCTTCAGAGTAGTGATTTTACCTGATGTTGCGAGGTTTGCCCAGATATCCGCCTTGTCCACGGAAGTTGTCGTAGTTTCCTCGCCCCCCGCCAAAATTGTTGGGGGGATAAGGGGGTACCCCTGCAATTAGGGATGGAATTAGGCGTAACTAACTACAAATAAGAAAGATTACTAGTCAGGCAATTCAAGAACATACCACCGTAACCCATAAGAGGAGGGCGGTTCTGCGCAAAGCCCATTGGACCCTGGGGAGCTTGAGGAGAAAACGGCATCGGAGAAAGCAATCCTGTCGTAGAAAAAAAGAAAAAGGACAATGGGGAAAAAAATGATCTCATACTGTTGGAAGATTGTCAGGTGATCCTTTCATTCAGTCCCCCTTTATGAACAATATTGTAATCGGAAGTGATCAGTCAAATGCTGACAGCCCACCTTGGCCCGGAGCTGGTAGCGGAGGAAGTTTCATCTCCGGCAGAGACGGCCTCTTGGCATCCATCAGGAAATTGTTGAAAAACACCACCTCCTTTTTCACCTCTTCAATTTTATTCCCATGTTTGTTCAGGATGTGTTTTCTCACAAACTCTGGACCCTGAACCAGTCAAACATGAATGAGAACTGGAATTACTGTATGCACGAAATCAGAGGCGGGCCAATTTTCATGCACCAGGGCTATATTTAATTTTTGAAAACAAGACAGACGGGCCAGGTCACTCGTAGATGTGATTATTAGGTTATTCTTTGTGTTTGATACTCGTCAACGGATGAAACAGCTCCTTGTTTACTTTCAAACTTAGCTTGTTGTGTGTGACATCACTCTAGCATTAGTGGCTAGCCAGCTAGCTGCTCAGCAAACAAGGCAGGGAGAGCCGTCGGATGAAAGACGTAAATGACTCTGTCCACTTTGATGCTGACAGCCTGACACAGTTGCCTTCCCTGCTGATCACCTTTTACCAAACCAGGCTTACTCAAGTGGTTTGTTTAGCTGTCAAACTAGCCATTGGAGTTGTTCTTTTGGACCAAAATATGGGGAGAAATGGTGTAAAAAGATTGAGAGCCACTGCACAAAATGATGCACCTGACATCCATGATCACTCTGAAGAAGAGGTTGGAACACAAACGTTACCTTAAACTTTTTCCCGCTAAGAGGGCAGAGCCACTTGTCCTTTCCAAGCTCCTGCGTGTTGGCAGAAATAAACTTCTCCACCTCCTCAGCGGGGTCTTTGCGACCCATCTTTGCCGCCTCTTCCTCAGACAGGTTTTCTTTTGTACTGTACAAAGCACTCAGCTTCTCCTCCAACATTTTCTGCCATTGTTGCACTATTGGAGAGACGGTTAAGATTGTCTAATTACACACCGTTTGAACGAAGGAAATCTTATTGTAGGCACAGAGTATTTTGCTTTTCTTTCATTAGTATACATAAACACAGAAGCCGGCATATAAAGACTATGGCCTTATTTTAATTCCACAAAAAGCATGCACACTAACACACAGAGCACAATTAAGAGTATAGTATTGATGTTGGTACTAAGTTATAGCTTCATTGACTATTTACCACCCCACAAAAAGTCCAATTTCAAGGTAATATATATTTTGCACGTGTTTAAATTTCAGTGCTGGAACAAAACAGGATGTGGCCATGTACTAATCAAAACACACAAACATTGTGGACGCAGTAAACAAAGCACGATAAATGCTATGGCTCCCACTGGGGTAAAATTCGATAAAAGGGTTAGGGAGTTAATGCCTTCAAGCACATAAACCGAGAGGGAGATTAATGCCTGCATGAAAGCAACTGTTGTCTTCCCAACATACTCGTGGTACGCCACACAAGGCACTGACCTTCTCCATGTGATATGCGGTTCGGAGGAACGGGCCCACGGACGTGGATCATGCCGCAGCGGTTCGGCATTTCGTCCTCACTCGGGTATTCGCAGGCATTGTAGTAATCAATGGAATGCACAATGCGCAGATAAAGAATCAGATGGTCCAAAACCTGAGCAAGGAAGAAACAAATTAGAAAGCATGAACTCAATAAATGAGGTAAGTCCGAAGTCTTGCAAGCAAACCTTGGCAAGTTTCTCATCCTTTTCCACAGTCATTTCTGTCGAGTGGCCCTCCTTGACACTCTCTTCTTGATCCATCCCACCAGAGGAGCCCAGGAGCTCCTCCTCCTCAGCGCTCACTTCCTCTATCAGGTAATCGGTAATATTCTTCAAGATGGGATTTTGCGTCTTCTGAATTGACAAGCGCAATTTACAAGTGTTACTAAGGCAATCTATATCGCTAAATACTGATGGGTGAACAACAACACTGTGAAATACTTCTGTGCTTTGGCCCTCTTCCTGGGGCGGGTTGCACCACAGATCTCCTTTCTCGTCCAGGGAGTGAATGAGTTTGGCAGCCATTTTGATGTCGTTGCGAAGCACCTGCTTGTGCTGAGTGATGCCGTTCACATTGCGCACCCTCCGTGCAAGGTCCCTGTTCACACTGGGGGCCAACTCGCAGTCACGCGGCTGTGAAAGGGCACAGTTGAGATGGTTAACAGTCCAATAGGCATCTCACAAGAACGCACAATGTCGACTGAGGTCTGGTTCGCAGTGCAGCGACTGGAATTGCCAAGAGCATTCAAGTCACTTACACGAATGTTCTGAAGATTCCAGCAGACCTCTTTGATGTTGACGCTGCGGTCAAACGTCACCCAGCAGCGTCTGTAAAACCTGCAAAAGCATTCAGTTTAGTTTGAAATTTTTGCTCCGTGCTGTTAGCCACCATTTAAAAACCACGGTCATCCAAGCACTTGTAACCATTTAATTAACTGCAAACAGTCAAACACAAATACAAAATGAAAACACTTGCAAGGACTGTGGAGTAGATGCTCACACTGTTGTGGTAAAAAAACTTAACTGACTGACTCCAACACAAGTTCAGACTCCCAACAGTCAATAATAATCAGATTTCTAAACTTATAAGTCAAGGTACCGCTGTATGGGAACACTAAGAAACCATAATATTCAAATAAACATTTTAAAGAAAGCCAAAGTTTGCTTTTACACAAACTAACCTGCGCTCTGGATGGGGATCAGCCAAGCAGACGCGCAGGAAGCCAGGGTAGCGGCGACACAGCTACAAAAAAAAAAGTCTTTAGAGTATGCTGAAAGGAAACGTACAGTCAGTGAAGAGTAATGAGTGCTGCTTCAATAGATCAACTGACAGCTACAATCTCAGCCTTGGAAATGGTGGGGGCGATGCTCCTCATGAAGAGCGAGCAAGTCTTGTGAAGAGGCCGTGGTCTAGGAGTGTCATCTTTAACCTTTTTCTCCACTTTCTCCTGCTCTTCAGCATTCTGCTTCGGTTTTCCCTCTAAACCGTTACATAACAGTCCACAGATTCTTGTGTGAGTGAGTGTGTGGCCCAGCTCTTAAAATGCTTCTCACAAGATTGGATTTCTCACCTCCACCGTCCTCCTCCTTGTCCTCCACCTCTTCTTTCTTTACCGACTTTTCAGAGCAAACAGAGTTTGAGTCAGATTCCGAGTCAGAGTCGCTTTCAGAAGCACTGGCTTCGTCGTCGCTGTCACCGCTGCGCTTCCTCTTTCTCCTCGGCTGGGTAAATCATAGGATGATAGTGATAGAACATGTGACCGCCACCTGGGATATTTCTGTTTAGTGCTAAAAAACTGGCAAAGGTGACACAAACCTTCTTGGGTCCAGGTATTATTTCTTTGCCTGCTTCTTTCGCTGCCTCCATTTTGACAACATCGCCTCCTGCGGCCATCCTCTCAGCGGACATTGAATCGCTCTCATCCTTTGAGATGGTTGGACATGGTCAACATGATGCATGGATGACCATGACATTGCAATAATCATTCATTCTTCTTGTGCCCGAGCATTTTTCTATATGTGCCATTCTGAAATGTTGACTTTTCTTTTTTTTTGATTAAAAATCAACACATATTGACGAATTCAGTCACTAGCTCACTCAGATACTACGAAAACCAATCATACTTTCTCATTCTTGTCTTTTGTCACTGACGGTTTGCCGTCTCCATCCACGTTCTTGTGATGGTCGCTCTTGGGGGGTTCAGCTCCACCAGAAGCCGATTTCTCCCTTTCTTCCTCCTCCTCAGAAGGCAATTCCAAGATGCGGAGATCGTGGTCTGTCCCTCCTTCCATCTTTATCACAGCTGTAAGCAGGGGAGAGGTGGAATTGTGCAGGTCCTAACACAGAATTGTCAT